TACTACATTGATCCACATGCTTACATCATCATTGTACCCTTTCAATCCCATCCTCATTTCCAACTATTCCCATACTTTCAATTGTCACCCTTGTTTTGAACCCCCTGCCGCCATCTTTAGCAATGGTTAGGAATAGAAAATGACTAAAAACATGGATGGGGGCTGCAAGAATGCAATGATGGTTAAGATAGAGTAGGTTGCTTTATCATTCCCTTTATTTTTATAATAAGTTTGTTTTATATTCTTATTTTTATTGTTGATGCTTTGAATAGTTTTCTTATTGGTTGTGATCAAGATTTTGAATTTTTGAGTGGTAAGGATTCCAATTGATTTGATCTTTTTGATTCAATTACAAATCTCAAGATGTTGATATCTTTTCTACTTTGATTTCAAATTGTTGGACTCCACATTCTACTTTTGTTGTATTTGTTGATAATCCTATAGATAGTTATTGGCTTTGGAATTCAAACTAGTACAACCATCGCCAAAAGTTAGCTACATATGTGGTAGAATTTGGGCAAGATACTATTGGAAGAAGAGATGGATCAATTTATGAGGTTATTAACAATGTTAATAATCTTGAAAATTCCAAATCCAAGATTTTGCACTATGAAGCCACAAGAAATGAACCTTTCTAGATTGTGTTTTTTCATAATATGACCATCAAATTAAAAGGAGAATTTTGGATATCTACCTACAAAACCATTAATAGCCATGGGATTGAAATCCATATCTACAAACAAATCTCTATTCACTAAGAAGAACATGTTATCATTCATAGATTGTGCATTCATGATATAATTCATGAGCTTAACTCCTCTCAAATGCAAGTCTTTCAAATCAAAGTGGTTAACTATAAATCAAAACAAGATCCTTAGAGGGATGGGATCCAAATCTGGTCATTTAAACATGTCTAGATTGATCATTGTTATTTCTCAAATGCTCTAGATGGTTTGATTGATATTATCAAAGGTTCCACTAACATCACTATTTCTAAAAATTTCTTCACAAATCTTAAAAAGATAAAAATTCAAATTCAGATAATTTTTTGAAGTACAAAGTTTTCAAAAGTTAGTATTAAAAATTATTTTGACTCTTGAGTTGAAACTTTGAAAGCTTTAATGTGGATTTTTTTTATTATCCTACTATTACTCTTTTATTCTTTTATTATTATTAATTTTTTATTCTTGTAAAAAATAATACAATTAATGTTATTGGATTCATTATCCAAGGATGAAATAGACAAAAACATGCATGTAACGATTCCCTTAAGCAAATTTGGATCCAATCTTGTTCAAAGAATATCAAGGTAAGGATTTCTTTTCATTTTAAAGTTTTGTTGGATTTGGTTTTTTTTGAATTTTTCTCAAGGCTATGGAAATTGAAAAGAAATGACAAAATAATTTAGAAATATGAATCTTTGAATTTAGAGCTCAATATGGAATTATCCATATTATCAACAATGATTATTCAAATAGTTGGGACAAGTATGCAACTAGTAGAAGTGAGGATCCAACTATACTTAGTAAAGGCAATTATTTCAAGCCAAAAAAATTCAAAGAAGTTACTAGACATTTTAATGAACAAAATAGTCAAAAAAAAGTTGCAAGCATGTTGGTATGTCTTGCTCAAAGAATTCTAGATATTATCAAAAACATTAGACCTTAGTCTCCTAAAAAACTTAGAAATTAGATATTTAGTTTTTGTAGAAAATTTATTAATAATAATGGTGATTATTAGTCTTTAATATTAATGAAATAACTAATCAATTTGACTTAAAAAATCTACTGAATAGATGTGATATATATATATATATATATATATATATATATATACTTATATAATCTTTATTTTTTTATTTTTTTATACTTGAAACACTACATCCATCTATGATATATAGCAAAAGTGTTACTACAAAAGGTTTTTATTTTTTATTTCTTATTTTTAAAGAATATAGTCTGAAGAATCCAATTTTTGTTCTACAAGTAGTTTTATTTTTTTAGATGTTTTATAGCGTGCATTGAAGCATTACATTTTTATTGTGTTTAATTTTTAAAAAAAATACATATTTGTCTTAGTTAATTTTTTTTCTTTGTAATTTTATATAAATTAATTTATAATTTATAATTTGATAGTTTTAATATTGTATTATTTAATTTAGCATATATAATTCAAAGAGTAAAATTGATTTTTAATATATATATATATATATATATATATAGAAACATATAATCAAAGGATTAATTTAATTCAGTTTGATTTTGATTCTTTCTTTTTTGTATAATTATCATATCTATTGTTGTCGGAAGGTGCAAATTAAGAAATGGAATTTGATTTTTTATATTTCAATATTAATATTAATATTTTTTTTAATTATGATATATTTTATTTTAGAATAGTATAAAATCAAGAGATGATTATGGTTATAGAATATATATATATATATATATATATATATATATAAATTAAAAAATATATTTTATATAAAAATAACTACTTATACTCTAATATTTTAAGACTTTTTAAATAGTTCATATGTTATAAAATATATTTTAATTAGATGCTTTTAATTCTTTAAAAAAATATTAAAATTATTAAATAAAAATCTTTAGCTATCATCAATAATAGTATGGACAACAATAAGTTTACTCACACATCTAGTAGCAAAGATGAATTGCCAAATGCTATGAAGTTTTTAGAAATCAAATGCCAATTAAAAGAATTAGATTTTGGCATTTGCATATTAAAAATGCAAAGTACATGTCATTTAAACTACATATTTCTATTATCTATGTTTGATCTTTGATCTTATTTTAGATTTTAAAATACTTATAGGTATCTTTGAACATATTATATTTATTTTTAAGTAATATTGGAGACCATTCTTCTTTCATAAATAAACAAAAAATGTCAAACAAGACTTTATTAGATTTTGATTGGATTTAATATTGTACATATTTAATTATTTTAGATATTATTTTTTTATAAATTGAGATAAAAAAATTGGTAATTAAGTAAAAATAAATGCACTACACAAAAAGCAAGTAAACACTATATTTCTATTTAATGATTTTATTATTATATTAAAAAAATATTGTGCTACAGAACAATCTTAATTGCAAAATAATATTAAAAATATCAACTTCTTTACTTGGATAATATGTATTATTAAAAGTATATTTGTTGTAGTTGCATATAAGTCTATCAAATTTAGCAAAACATTTCATTGCAAAAATAAACTATGTTATATCTGTATTATTATTTATATTTATATTAGTAAAAATATTTATGTATATTTTAAAAATAAGTATCAAATTTTTTATTTTAAGTATATAAATTTCAACATTTAAATATGAAATTGATACATTATAAAAAAAAATCTTATTTAGTATTTATTATAATATTCTTTTTGTATTATCAAATAATATTTTTTATATGCATAACTACTGCAAATATTATTTAGGGTCTTATAATATATATCCTAGAATTTTAATATTTTCTGATTTTCTAATATAATTTTTAAATATTTTCTTTTATGATTTTTTTTTTAAAAAAAAGTATTTATATTTAGTATAAGACATAGAAAGTAATAGCTAAATAATCCTTGGTCTATATAATATTAATAGCATTGGTTTAGAATCAAAATGCCACAAAATTCTTTAGCTATTAATTTTTCTAATATTTGACATTATACAATTTATTTAGGCCTTATTGTCGCATTCTATTTCTAATAAAGACTTTGGTCTATATTTTCCCACATAAATAATACATAGTATTATGTACCCACTATATGATATGTAAATCAATTTAAATCTTATATAAAAAAAAATTTATTAAAACTATTTAATTTTTTTTCTTAACTTGTATTATTGTTTTGTCTTTTTGACTTCTATATTGTCTCTACTACCAAATTTTTGTCAATAAAGTATCTTATAGATTAATGACTTTAAATTTATATTGCAAAATAATAACTTATCAATAAATAATTGTTGAATTTGAATTAGAAACAATACTTTGTTATATAGGTCTATAATACTTATTTTATAATGTATTAGGATTAAAGTTTTCTACAACCAAGAGTTTTAATTGTAATACATAATTTGATTTAATACAAAAATATTTAATATTTTCTTCGATATAGATGCTTTACTTAAAGTAAGTAAGAATAGCCAAAGATATGTCACAAGACCATTTATTATTAAAATGTTGAAAAATATTATATTATATTATATTATATTATTTATTTATTTACAATTGAATATCATTTACTGATTCTAAAAAAATTCTAAGAAAATATTTAAGTAAAAATGTGATTATAATTTAGCTAATTGGACCAATTAGCATTAATGACTCCATTAACAATTCAAAATGCTTATTTTGTTTTATTTAGGTTTTATTTAGTTTGAAGCTTGGTCTTGTGATGCATTCGTTACAAACAATCATATCTAACAACATATGATGAATACACTAATCACTATTTTTTTCTTCACATACAAACAAAGTCTTTAATCATAATTTAGATTACTCAATCCAACCCTCATAAATCTAATACACAGAAAGCAGCTTCAAATTATCAATTTAAAATTTCTAAATAAGTGTAAGAAGAAGAAGAAAACGTCAACATGACAATACAATGAAAAAAAAGTCAACATGACAATACAATGAACGTGGCTAAGATTTTACGATCTCCCAACTATTTCCAAAGCGGATGAATCTCACAATTTAAAACTCAAAAACTTAATTGATAGTCATAGGGGTCTAGTAATGGACAATACCTCAAAAAACAATGATTTGAATCTTAAAAAAATACTAATTCTCTTTTTTGGTAGAATGTGACTCCAAACTGTAACAATTTCTGAATGAGTGGATTTGGCTGATTTAGATATTTGAAGCAAGAGATTTGACTAAATTAAACAACTTCAAGAACTTAAGAGTGAGTTCAATACACTGCAATAAACTTCCAATTAACAGATTAGAACCTTGAGTCCTGAGAGCTTCAATGAGAAGAATGCAGAGCATCATCAAAGTGAAGAGATATTTTTATTAGACCCAGACACACCAGGGAGCTTGGAGCAAGAAAATGTAACTCAGAAAAAAATTCAAAACGCAATATACAATTGATACATAAAACCACAGCATACGTAAGAATCGACTCTGCAGCCAAAAATACACCTTATCAGCCAGGATCGGCACCGAGCACAACTTGTCGCATTAATTTTGAACAACAAAGGACCAATGGTTCTGAAGACAATACAGGATGGAGGAAAACAAATGACCATGGCGCTGAAGATAACTCCGGACCAACCACGGCGAACACAACCTGTGCCAGGTACATAAAATCCACACAGGGCCAGCAATCCATGCTAAAAACCAAAGCTCACCTCGCATAACGGCTTGCAAGCATTGGCACTCCTTCACCTCATGTGCAGATGATTCCCTGCAACGGAAACATACACGTGAGAAACACACTTCTGTGCTATGAGCATCGCATTCTGAAATTTACAATCGATCTTAAATTCTGCAAGTCACCATTTGCACCCAGACTTGTAACATTCGCACATCCTCATGTAAATAGGAGATGAACATCTGCATCAGCCGTTCTCGGATGTTACAGCTGAACCTTAGACCTAAATTTTGATACGACAATGACCCTTCACTCACTCCGCAGCAGCTCTCGATCTTTCTTAGAGGCTTTTTATTCAATTTATGTAGCCATGCTAGGAACATGAGCTACTGTACCCTTTCATGAACATCTCAACCTGCATGGGAAGGTCTAGTGAAAAACGCGTTTGGCTTTTCTTTTGAGTAACAGATTTACACATATCATCGTAGCCTACAATTATCTTGCGGCAAATGATATTAGTGTCATGCCTTTCAAGCGTTGTTTCGTTATCTTACAGAATGTGACTGAACCCCTTCCGTTTTAGTTCTGTGAACGATAGGAGATTGTAGCTTTTGTTTAAAGAAAACCTCCAAAAGAGCTTTGCAAAACTGGAAAAAAAAAATGCACGTCCTGTTTGGGGCCCAACTCGCTGCCTCCCTTCACTTCTGGACTACTCCCAGTGATGAGAGTGATGTATAAACATTATCATCAAGTAATCCTGATTTTGAATCCTCTGAGCACCTGGGTACTTTCTTTTTTCCGCACATGCAGTAACAACACAATCAACAAATGCAGATCAAAGAAAGGGTTATCCGTTTCTCCATCCTGAAACTTTCACAGTTCCACTGCGAACGTCAGGGCATCCTCAAACTCAAAACGCTCTCACCGTCGCTGTAATTGCAATCCGTCAGATGTAAAATCTTGCAAACTATCCCCGAATCCGCACCACAGCTATACTCAGCAGTATGATTCCCTATCCCAGATGCAACGCCGTGAGGGAGTCTGCAATCGACCTCCATTACAGCAAAGCCTTAATGCAAACGAGCAGATCTACTTTAAGATTTAAACAAGTGCTGTCATTCGGAATGCATCAGAAGAAAACTACAAGCTCGATGCGTTGCAGATGACGCGGGAATAGATATCCACGCTCATAGAACGAGGACTGTGCGCCTTTTACCGTGATCTTCGGCGTCTTGTGAGCATTGTCTGGGGGTCAAGTGACGATGAAGGATTGCAATGCAACTCTATAGCGGTACACGACATGGAGTGCTCTTGAGCGCGCCGAATTCTGGGGTTGTCGGCACTGCGGGCTTATCGTTTGGATTAGCTTTTGCGGGGGTGGAATTATGTCGGATTGCTGGATGGTTTCTAGCCTTTTCAGTCTAGGGTTTGAAGAGTTTTGATTTCGGTGCCATCCAATCGAACCGAAAAGGTATCGTGATCCGAGGTTAGGATTGGAATTTGTAAACGAGAGGTAGAGGGATGGCCGCGGCGCAGCCCGTCGCTTCGTCCTACCTAAACCCTTCAGGGTCCACCACGAGCGCTGGATCTAGCGGTGGAGCTCCTGTTTCGTCTAAACGCAAGAGGCGTCTCCATGACCTCTCTCCAGATGAGGTGCAGTCCTTAAACATTTCCTCCCTGGATGTAGAAGCGGTTTTTATGGTTGATAGTTTTTATCGTTTGGAGGGCAAAGTTAGTACTATTTTCTGTTTGTTGTCGTTGTGGATTTCACTCGAATTAGGGTTTTAAAGAGTGTTTAGTCTGCACTTACATTTGCGAAGTTTTCACATGTACATACGGATGTTATGTGTCGAGGTTTCATGAATGATTTGCCAGCTATGGTTTCACGGTAATCCCGGGTTTTCCTTTGTGTTCGCTGTCCAATAGTTTCGCAACCCAGTGGCATTAGATCTTTGTTGCCTGTTGCATCACAGCCTACATCACGTGGTTTTGCGAGCATCTAGGGTAATTGAAGGCGGAGGGTAATTGAATTCGTCAAGGTTTGTCTGACACAGTTTATATTCATCTGGATTCTGTACGTAGATCAATGAAATAGTGGCTCTGAGGGGAAAGATGTCCCAAGCTGTCGTCGGAAAGAAATATGGAATCGAGCAAACAGAAGTGAGCGCCATTCAAAGGATGCAGCGTGTGAAAATAGCCCGCTTGGTGGATGATAACGATAAGAAGGTGCAGTGTCCACACTTTTGTGCATGCTTGCTCTTCGAGCTTTCCGTGTACAGTCCGATTGTTCAATCTGTACTGATAAGCAGCATCTTTTTTGAACAATATGGATTCCGGAGCTCGACCTCTGCGGCAGAAAAGTTCTAGGGTATCTTCAGAATCCTGGTCGTCAGTCAGTGAAATGTGCCAGATTCGCATTCATTTACTACTCAGGAGATACAAGCTCTTGTTGTATTTACAATCACTTTCTTACTCGTTGATGATTTCTCTGCAGCCAATGGTTGGAAGAGTTAAAGGGGTGGAGGTTACTATCCCAATCGTATATGGTTCCATCGCCTTTTGGCTTGGAAAGAAAGCGGCTGAGTAAGTTCATACTTTCTCCTATTCACTCAATATTTGTGACATGTGCTTGAAATCTGTTCTTCAGGACCTATCGTGTCCTTACGAGCTTTGCTAGTTGATAAAACTCATGTACCTTATCTGGTTTGATTGATTAAAATGTTGATTGTATGCCTTCTGTCCGCAGAAGCACACACAAGTGGACAACATATGTTCGGAGTGCTAATAATGAAGACCTCAGTGTTCTGATTAAAAAGGTTGTTTTTCAACTACATCCCAGCTTCGAAAAACCTACAAGGACAGTAGAAGCAGCTCCGTTTGAGCTGTCAGAGTCGGGGTGGGGAGAGTTTGAAATTGGCATTACTCTCCATTTTCATCCGGACGTTGGAGAAAAGCCCTTAGAATTGTAAGTTGGTTCTCTCCTAAATTCTGCAAATATACTTGTACAATGGCGTTAAGGGAGGTGATAACGTTTTGAGATGTTAGGTGGACTAAATAGTTCTCTATGACGGATTTTATGGTTTCAACAAAACCAAGTGGTTTTTAAGATGATTTGCTTCTTGGAAGTCGGATAAAATGTACGTCGCACTAAGTGTTTTGCTAGGATACATTAGCTCATAATCATCAATTACGCTAATATCAATTGTATCCCAATTCGTCAGTAGACCTAACTGTGACTGATACAACCAGGTTTCATCACTTGAAGTTGTACGCTGACGATGAGTCAATTCCGCAGACGACAAAGAAGCCCGTTGTTGTGGAATCATATGATGAGATAGTGCTTTCAGAGCCTATGGAGGCATCATTTGGTCGCTTGCGTAATCATCCTGTTGCTCGAGTGATAGGCAGTCCTGCGTCGCCACTTGTTCTTCCAGGTTAGTCTTTCTGTCTCTGCCTGACTACATATCAATGCCTTGGTTTATTTTGTTAATAATTACTTTGGTTTTGCGAAGTTGCAAGTCATCCAGTATGTCACAACATGTCTGGCGTCATTGAGGTGTTTCATCATCAAAAACGTACTTTTGTTTACTCTATCTCATCAAGTCTTCGATCCTCTTAGAACTTTCCCTAGAATTCTAGATTCTAGTATTTTACTTCGAATTTGAAATACTGTAACATAAGAGTTTGTCAGCTGTGCATTTCAGTCTCCATTTATGTATCGTCAACCTCAATGTGCATTGGATTGATATAGCCGCAGAAGGCTCCTTCGAAAGGAATGGAGGAGATACGAAGGATCATTCGCTACTGCAGTGGTTTATGAAGCACTCGGAAGCTGAGGACTTGAACTTACTTGCAACTGCTCGCCAACAGGTAGTTTTGTACTGTGAACCTTCAAAAAGTAACGCTGCTATGTGATGAATTTTATTTCTGCAAAGTTAGTTCACCCTGTGTTATAGCACATAAATAACCATTATGAAACACAACATGCATTGTCTTGTAATCTTGTGTCCCTATTGTTTAGAATGCTGGTCTTGTTCAAAATGATGGATTCTTGCTTAGAAAGTGAGTGCGGCAAACTCGTGGTGGTATTGTTTGTCATAGGTGTGTGCTGCTGCTGCGAAGTTAAAAAAAGACCTTGGTGTATTAGAGACTGAAATTTCGCGTATAAAAGCAACTACACATTAGCATGTTTATCCATGCGCACTCTAGATATCAGGCGGTGTATATCCAGGCATACATCGTATTTTCGATGTTTAGGAGGTATGAACCTGACATGTTTGCTCCTTGCAGTGTGTCTATGTTCGTAAGTTGATATTAGACAGTTCACTATATGTTGTTTTAGTTCATTGATGTGGTTGCGTTTCGTGAAATTCAGCACTTAACTGGAAATTTTGGACTTTGCTCTTTATTAACTTTAAGGTTTCTCTTTTTTAGTGGCTGTTCTTCTAGAGCCGCTTAGGCCAAGAGGGATACATCCTGAGAATATGTTCACATACAATTCTGACAGTAGCTTTTTAATGCTGCATGTCTTTGGTCAGGTGCGGTGAGATCGAGGACAGCAAGTGAACCTTGAAGCACTTGCAACGGTTATTGCCAAAAACAACCTTTCTCTTACATTCAGGGTCGTTAGGTAGCTTGCCTATACTTTTTTCAAGACTGTTCTGGAGTTCTGTATTATAACAGCAGCATGCTTTGTCTGAACTGCTATTTTTTTTGTCCGAGAAGGTGTTTATTGTAGTAGGGATCGTGTGTTTTAAATGTTGAAAAGAAAACTTGGCAGGAGAAAGAACTCGCACTTGATCTAATGTTGCAGGAAAAGTGATCTTAATTTGGCACATGTTCCTGCTTTGTGCTGCATCAATAGTTTCTTGTGACAAAGATCTGTCGTCGAGTATGTGTACCCGGCAGTTTCAGTCCTGTCAGGGATCAGGCGTAGTAATGACCACTTTTGCATGTACGGGAGTTAAGTACAAATCTATCTTTAGATTAGCTAACTACATCTCGGCAAAATATTGCTTGTCGATTACTGCCATATAGGTGGGAAATTTCGCTTGGAAATCATTTTCTACCCCACTTCAACTATGCTGCTCTTTCTGGACAAACCGTTCGGCATAGAAACGGAGCAACGTTAAAACTGAATTGGAATCCACACTCTTATACATATTAATCACTGTCTATTGAATGACAATTCAGTAGACAAATATTATATTTTTTTTTAAAAACAATTTGCTCAAATTAGAGTTGGATGTGATCCCCTATTTGTCTGTCTATTCAAAGAAATTCCACTTGTGCAATGTCTTCTATAGGGTCGAAGATGTCATTGACATGAGCAGTGTAACAAAGACATATACACAATCTTTATTTGACCAAGTGGTTGTTATGGATATAAATTGCAACAAAATTTTAAAAATAACAATACACTCTTATATCACCAAAAAAGAGAAAGTAAACAATTAGAAGATAGATATAGAATTGAAGTAAATAACTATTGCCAAACCTAAAAAGACTAACAAGTCTGAAATAAGATGGAACAAATAAAAAGCATTGATAAGAGTGAGGAAAACTTCACTTTTGCCTATATATATTCTATTTACTACAAAACTATGTGGCAATGTCTTGTAAGCCATATGACATACATCTAACTTATAAGACGCATATCTAATTTGTAGAGCAAGTTTTTGACATGAGTGCTATATAGCCAACTTATAATACAAGTCACTAAATGCACAATATTTGGCCTACATACTGGTCACATTGTCAACCTACCAATCACTTATAAAAACATGTCAAGTCCATAAAGAGTTTAAAAAACTTTCTAATAAGATATCGACAATTCAACTTACTTCTACTTACTTTTATCATATCTACTTATATAAGTAATAATACTTGTGAATATGTCTATCAATTACAATAATTGGTGGTTTTGCACTCTTTCAAGTAGTAAGAAATTGATTAAAACAAAAGATTAAAAAAACCAAATCCATCTCATTGATTTTTTTGTAATTTTCATTTTCAAACATGCAACTTTGAAGTATATGCAATATGGAGTGAAGAGTTCTAAATCAAAGTTTATTCTACTTTTGAAGATATTAAAAAAAACATATATATATATATATATATATATATATATATATATATATTTGACTTTCTACAAAATAAAAAATATAATTTGTAATATAATAAATGATACTAAATTTGATATTAATATTTGGAAACAAATTTAATGTGTTTATGTGTAGAAAATGCTTATATTATTCAATTATTTAGAAATAATAAGAAGTAAATAGACATAGATAGAATATATTAAATAAATATATATTTTTTAAAATAACCTTTGAATTTTTTTCTATGCGTAGATCAAATCTTTAGATTCTTAAAGATATGTCATGTGGCTATTGAAACTTGTTCCATAAGCCTCTTATTTTTAAGAGCCATATTAGAAGTAACATACAACTTGATATTTGAACCACAAGTTTTGTGGTCTTTAGAAAGTTGCAACAAAGCCTTCTTGGTAGCTAGTGTATATGGAGATATAAGTGATACCATTCTTAGTCTTCTAGATGTTATATTTTAAATTTGATCTTCGTTTAAAAGTCTCTAGCTTATTTTTTATTTGGCAATAGTCTTTTTAGTTCTTTTATATCTTATATATATTTCTTCATTATTTACTTTCTTCTTTTTTCAATAACACATGAATATATTCTCATTTGAATTTAGTTTGGATTTATGTTTTTGATATGAGGCATTATTTTTTTGTATTTTTAAAAATAATTTGTAAGAAAATTGTAAAATTTTCTAGTATTTAATTTTAAAAGTTTAAAAATTTGAAAGAAAATAATATGTGGTATAATAAAAGTTATTGTCAGATTATTACATACCAATTCAAGAATAAAAGATAAATAAATATAATTTAGAAGTCAATAATAATAATAATAATAATAATTTAATTAGATGGTATTGAAACTACATTTTGCAATTTGTAATGGCTCTTGCTTTAGATTACAATGAAATTAGAATTTTACAACAATTTTTTACAAGCCTTCATTATACTTGTCAATGCCTTTGTAGTCTTTAGTGTTGATTTAAGACTTTCTAGTCTTCTTGCTTTTACAATAGCCATTCTAATTCAATAATATATCATCTTTGAGTGACTTTCTAGTTTTTTTTTAGTGACACAAGAATGTATTGAAAATTTTCTTTCTTCAAGATTCATGTCCTTGATACTTTGACAAGATTGCTAACTTATTATTTTTGTCTTTTTTTAGAAGTAAGTGGATTATCCTACTTCTATTGTTGTATTTTGAAGGTTGCAGACTACCCACTTTTTAAACAAAAAATCTTATTTTTTAACATTGATCTTTTCCTTAAAGAGAGTAGATTATCCTTCTTTATAGAAATTTTTACTTGGTATTAGAGGTTGCAGATTATCCTCTAATAATTTAACTTTTTGAATTTGTTTGAATTGTTTATGGGAAGAAAGATTATGGATGCTATTCTTACCAAAAGTAAGAATAGATTTATAACTATTGTAGATCTTTACGAGCTTATCAATACTTTAACAGTCAAAATATCATGTATTTTCAAGGTAAAGCATGGAGGTACTTTACCTAGGCCTATGAAAGAAGTTCAAAGTCTAGGCCAAGAACTTGTGCAGTTGAAGGAAGCAAGTAGATTGACCTCACAACCAAATCTACGGAAATTTGCTTATATAAGTATGATAGAGACAAAGATTAGTATGTTGGAGAAGTTTGATGGAACAAGATCAAAAATTTGAGGATTTTTACAATGTATCAAGTTTTATTTAAGATTGCATCTTTTCCAATACCTTGATGGACTTACTCAAGTTGAATTCATAGGCACTTTTCTATCATGAAGTACTCTCTCTTAGTTTGTACCTTTAATGGAAAAAGATTTGTGATTCTTTTATGATTTGAATTCATTTCTAAAAGTATTTACGGCCACATTTAGAGAAAGTGATTGAAAAAAAATAGCTGAGACTAAGCTCTTATCTTTACAATAAAAATCATGTTTAGCCACCATATATGTTGCTAAATTCCAAAACCTTACTTGCGACAAGGACTAGAATAACAAAGTCCTTATCAATCAATTTTGATATGGATTGAAAAACAAAGTCAAAAGACTTGTTATTGATAATGTCAAAGGTAAAATCTTTAGAATAATTTATAACTTAAGCCATTGCATTTGACAATCAACTATTTGAAAGACTTTAAGAATAAAGATTTGGTTGAAGAGGAACAAATTAAATAATGATGGCAGCTCCTAAGTTTTGAGAAACTTATTTATCGAGGCTAGAACTAATGCAAATTGATATAGTACATTATAAATCTCTCACAAAGCTTGAAAATAGTCAACGATGTCAAGAGGGCTCATGCTTATACTATAAAGTAGCTAGACATATTGCTCAACATTGTCTTAAAAAAAAACTCAATTATAAAATGAAAAGCACAATTGCCAAAGAAAACAATGTGTAGGAAAACAAGTTGCTCCAACTTCAATAGGGATGGTGTTGTCATGAACATACAACAAAAGAAGATTCCAAAAGGTTCTAGAAGATTCTAAAAGATTCTAGTAGATTCTAAGAAAGTTCTAGAAGGTCATATGAGATCTTAGAAGGTTTTAGGAGGCTTTAGATGATTTCAGAAGTTGCCAAAGAAGGATCTTAGGCTTGCTTTGTTCCCAAGCTTTATAGAAACTTTTCTTAGGACCTAATATATATAAGAGTCGAGGTTGAAGAGATCTTCAATTTTGACAACTCATTTCTTGTACTTTAATGAGGACCTTCTTGCCTTGTATCCAGTTGTTGTTCTAATATCAAGTTAACTCCATTTCTAGGTCTTGAATCCTTGTCTTGTATATGATTCCTAACATTTTGTTAAGTTTGCCATAAAATAATATTAGGAGTTTGGTCTTTTTTGACAAAGAGTAGATTATTCTTCTTCTTAAAAATACTATCACATTCTAGAGGTTGCAGATTACCCTCACCTAGACTAATATTGTCATTTTTTTTAATATTCTTTTGGTTTCTTTTTTTTATACCATAAATCAGATGCTTTTCTTTAAAGGCATGTATTTCTTTGATTTTCTATGGCAAAAAGTGGAAAAGTCAATATGACAGACTTTAAAGAGATCAAGTTAGATTTGATTATTAATCTCTTGAAGTATTGAGGATCAGGATAGAGACTTTATCAAAATAGAATGAAGAACTATATATGACCATACATAATGGTCAAGAAGCCGGAGTGCCTCAACCACCATATTAAATCGCAATAGAGGTTCTAAATTCTCAAACGACTATGTTTGCTTAAAATATGGTGTATCCACTCAAGGCAATGATTTGATAATAATAACAGCAAAAGAACCAAGGATCAGCCTTCCAAAAAAGTTCAATGGCACCCACACAAGATTTTGTGGCTTTGTAAACCAAGTATGACTAATCACCTTGATTCAACCTCAACGATATTCCATTGAATCATCTCATGTTGGTTTGATTGGATCCTTGCTATTTGGTCAAGCTTTATCTTGGTTTTCTTTATTATTTGAAAAGAATTCTCCTATATTACATAATTTTGAAGTATTTTTGGCATCATTTGCAAAAGTATTTAATGAACATGATAAGATTCATTCTTCAACAACTAAAATTCAAAGCCTTCGGCAAAGAATATATTTTGCATTAATATACGCTTCAAATTTCTGACAATTAGCATATGATATAAATTGAGAAGAATATGCATTGATGATTCAATTTCATTGAGAATTAAGAGACGATGTCAAGGACTTATTGTTGTCTATTTTTGATCTTCTAACACTCAATGAAGCCATTAATTAAGCTGTAAAGTGCAATAATCATTTATTTCAACTACAATAAGATAAATTTTCTTTAATTATGCCACATGTATACACCAATTATTCTACAGCTTCTTCACCATCCAAATCTAATGAGCATTTGGAAGCAGATGATATGCAAATCGATGTA